TTCCAATTGTGAGCCCCTAACAGCAGCTGGTGCCATTGGAGCAGATGGCAATGGTGGGTAGACTGGAGAATAAGGTGGTGGGATTTCTGGTTCATCAGCCAACACCAGCTTGTCAGTCAACTCAGCAGACTCTGATGGGCATTTGGACTGAGCTGTTTTGAGGGCTACCATAATTTTGCAATTATCTTCCCAGCAAGACTTTAGCCAAGAGGGCCATGCAAGGACCACATTCTGCCAACAGTCGATGTAAGAGAATTGGTCTGGGTGACCTGGTCCTCCTACTATAATTCTGTATACCCTCCTAATGGTTCTTGTATCTAAGGATCCCTCTGGTGGCCATCCAACCCTGAAAGAGGGCCAATCTATTTCACAGAATGTACAGAGCTTTCTCTGAGACAATTTGACACCATAACAATCTCCACAGAAACATTTGACAGAGTTCTTAAGCATACAATAAAGAGTGGTATTCTTACTTTGGTTTCCACCCATTTTCTCCCCCTAGCAGACGGCAAGCACACACAAATGAGGAAACGGGGATATGGGAAACAGCTGCTTTGTCCTCCTCCAGTCGTACCCCTTGTAGAGATATTTCAGACACCTCTTAGCAATTGGCAGGTTGGCCCCAACCCAGACCAACCCTATGATGGGATTGGGGCCGCCCTCAGCTGTATGATGTCGTCACTGGCTTAGATCAGGACTTAACACTCACTTTGGCCCATTGGCCAGGTCAGAACCCTTCCACTCTCCATCTCATTCACGTGCAATCACACAGCACATTCTCCAATCCTAGGAGTCAATGAGTTTGTCATGAGACAGTGTTTCCTTCCACTGCCTTTCAGTCCTTTCTGTCAGACTGGAGACTACTGGTAGACTAGGAGGTGATCAAGCTCCCCTTCTGCCATCTGCTGGCAGGTCTAAGCAAAGGCCCTTGTTCTTACCCTTTCCATTGGGTGTTTTTCCTCATGCCAGTTCCTGCACCTCTTTTGGGTCCCTGTTGTGCTCTCGAGATCTGAATCTTGGTGTGCTGGGTGGAGTATCTCTCCTATGGATCAAAAGGTCCACTGCCCGCCAGGTGAGATTGCCTCTCTCATTGCTCTGGGGATACCCCAATGACAAAGGAGGTGGAACACACAGTCTCCAAACTGTTTCCCAACCAGTGCACCAAAAAATGTTGCAGGAAAACAGAGAGACTGTGACACTGAGGCTTTCTTAGGAAGCAGCACTTTATTAGTGCCGGCACAACTCAGTGGGCTAATGCTCCAAGGCTGAACCACCTGGAGAAAGAGGAGAGGGGTTTTATATGTTAGTTTAGGTAAGGGAGGGGGTGAGGTTATGGCTATACATTTTTCTTTGGAATTTGGAAAGTTGTATTTAACAAAACCAGATTTTCAAAGAACAAATTGTTTCCAGGATATACATGACAAGCAGGGGTTGTAAACTAATAACTTCACAAAGAGAGAATGCAGGGTAAGGTTGTGAATTGATTACTATCTTGTACTTACAGGAAAGTGGCTTGTGGCTATTTGGTTTTCTCATGTCCTATATCTAGCAGGTTTGGAGCTTGCAGGTTGATTTTTTTTTTTTTTTTTTTTTTTTTTCATTAATCAGTAGTTTTTATTATGGTTTTGGGGGGTACAGTTAAGGGTAGGTGTACAATGACGTTTCATTCAGGCACCCTGTAGATAAGAAGAGTTTTCCCATCCCCCGACAGATATTTGCTACTGTTAATCCCATCCCCCTCCCCCCCGTAGTTTCCCAGTACCATCCGTCATTTTCTCATAGTATTGCATTGGATGTTCAAGGTCCATTATATGAGTGAGAACATGTGATATTCGGATTTTTGTTTTTGTGAGAGGTCACTCAGTATTATAGACTCTAGTTCCATCCAGGTTGCAGCGAAATTCATGATTTTGTTCTTTTTTATGGCTGCGTAGTATTCCATCGTGTATATGTACCACATTTTTTTAATCCAGTCCTCTTTTGATGGGCAGCATGGTTGTTTCCAGGTTCTTGCTATTGTGAACAATGCTGCGATAAACATACGTGTGCAGGTATCTTTTTTTATAGAGTGATTTGTGTTCTTCAG